AGAGCCGGCAGCTGCCTAACACTCCTTGATTTTATTTACTAACTCAAGCCTTTTGGAAAAGGTACTTTGCACTCTTTTCCACACGCCCCCCCCACCCCCCACTGCGGTTCTCGGCAGAAACTAATTAAACCCACTCGCCCTTGGTGCAGCCTAAGACAGTGTATGAATATTTCAGTGTCTCGCAGGCAGCCCTGCAAAGCGATCGCTGTATTATTAAGAGGGGCGCAAGAGGAGGAGGAGGGGGGTTGAGTTTGCCGCTGCGGTTTTTGTTTTGGTTTGGTTTTTTTGGATGCTGCTGCAAGGCGACTTGACGCATTCCGGCACTGGCTCCTACTCCTAACCAGCGCATCTCACTCGGAGCAGGTAAGGAAAAGCCCCTTCTCCCCCCGCGCTGTTGGACTCTATTTTGGACAGTTTGGGTCTGGGATGTCGATATCCCTCCCCTCGCCTGTCTCTCAGCTGTGTTTAGCTGCTGCAAAGCAGGAGAGGAGATGCTTTGCGCCCCCTCCCTGTATCCCCCCGATTGGTGTGATGAAGTTCTCAGTGCTCAGCTAAGTCTCCACCGTCTGTGAAGTGGGGAGTGTGGTTGTCAGGAGACTTATCGCAGGAGCTGAGCCCGCTGAAGTTGCCTGGGAAGCCCTCCCGATGTGCTCAGGGCACCGCAGAGTTCCACACTGGCCCCCTTCCTGCCTCGGAGGCCTCGGTGCGTGTCCAGGGATGTGTGGGAACGCGTAGGGCTCTGCATGTGCTGCCGTAGTGGGCAGAACGGGATGTACTTACTGGTGTGAAAGCCAATCCATTGCGCCTGAGCGTGTGTGTGTGTGGTGGGGCATGGGGGCTGGTTTATTACGTTTCTCTCCTCCCTGGCAGCCTCCATCCTGCAAATGAGCCTTATGCCTTCAAAAGCAGAGTATCTCCATCCCTCCCTCCCCAGCGCACAAGACGAGAGGACCGGGGCAGTGTGGGGGGAGGCGATGGAAATTTGCTGAGTTGGCATTGCGAGGACTCGCCTCCCAGCTGCCCCGTGATTTATTTATTTATTTATTTATTTGTGTGTGTGTGTGTGTGTGTGTGTGTGTGTGGTAACTTCATGACAGCAGCTGCGGCGATGGTCGAGTCGGCGAGAAAAGTGGACGGATCGAGTTAAAGGCAAAAGGAGACGGCTGGG